TATATATTCATCATTTAGTACATGATGAGTCAATGCTAGCTGTTTCCACTTAAAAGTTTTAGGCTGGATCCAGACCAAGTTAGTTGCTCTTTATTTCATTGAAATCTGTAAAACAAATTAGCCATGGCTAAGTCACACTGAGTTTATAAGAATATAATTCAATGATAACTTAATCATGACTCAATCAATTATGTTTTAGGTTTATGAAAACATTTAATATGTGATGCCATTCCTCATAAATCATGCATCACTTGATATTGGGATCACATTAAAGGAATGGACTTACTCTGTATCACAGCAGGTATTTTGCAGAGCTGAGTTTCCATCCTTAGTTCTGGAGTGTTGTCTAACCAGTTCATTGAAACTGGATCTATTTTTTTCTGCTTATTCTGGGATTCTTTCTGAAGTTTGTCACAGGGTATCCTGGGGACTGGGACTGGGCAGTCACTGTGCATTCACTCTGAGCAGGCTGTTGGTTGTGCCTCCTGTATTTTTTTTCTTGCCGGTGGGGTGGGAGCTTGTGATGGGAGGCCAGGGCAAGGTGTAGCTTAGAATAACATTTTTTATAAAATTGCAAAAGTGTATCCACTTCCCCTATATTGAAGTGTGAATGACAAAAAGTAATTCTGTGCTTGCAAATGAGGAGAAGAGAAAATGGGTCTGGATTGACTTTGTTTAATGAGATGTATGTGCACTCTTCAACAAAATGTTGCATTTCATTTGCAAACAAGGGTGGGGTGTGTTTTTTTTAAGAAGAAGACCTGCAGCCAGTTGCTGGAACTGGTTGTTGCCTAGTTCAGAAACACCCCTGCTTGGTGCTTCATGGAACTTCTGACCAAGCCAGTATTGACACTATGAGGTGTTTTCAGGTGTTTAAGATCTTATCGTTGATCAAAGGAAAAATGTGTATGAGAATTATGTTGTCTCAAACATCTAGACAGAATCTGATGAGCCAGGTAAACTAATGACTGGCTTAAGTAATAAAGCAGCTTCATATCATGACATATAACTTGAGTTCTTTTTTGCAACAAAAGAAGAAAGGACACAGCTGGTAGTTCTACTGTAGCAAATCACTGCAAACTTCCCCATTTCATTTAATATGAGTCATTTTAGGCAATACATGTATTTGGAGGTCAAATTGCTTGAAGTACAACAGACCAAAAAACAAACAAAAAACCCCCACTACAAACAAACAGATTTTGTAAAAAGAAAATTATTTCCACCTTCATGTGCAAAACCAAATGTCCATTTCAAAAGATCTTATTAAAACTTCAGATTTATTTTTCAATCTCAGCCCAATACTGAAAACCCAATGTTGGGTAAAGGAAGAGGAAATAGGATCCAGTAGTGAAACTTTTTAGAAAAAGACTCCAGTTGCACTCACAGAGCAGGGTCTTAACCAGCACAATCAATACCTATTGATACGCTAATTGCATTGTGGCATTGGATGGCATACAGATGCCAATACATGGAACTACAGCCTTTACATAGCGGAAAGAGACACAACATGGGCTTCTGAACTCAGGTGAGCTGATTGTCTAGACCAGGGGTGGGTTGCTGCTGGCATTACTGCCGGTTCGGTGCATGCAAAAATAAGACAGAGCATTTTTTGGTTGAAATTTGAAGTTGCTGATTGTGTCACCATTCTGACACATAGTCAAGGTCTTTTTGAAGGGTAGCAGCATTGTTGGTTTAACATTTAAGAATAGTGTACTAAAACTGATTTGGCTTCATCATATTTAAACTTAATTAAAATGTGTAATATATAATTATTCTCTAGCTATGTATTTCAGAATTTTATCTTACGAACTCAGTGGATTTGTCCATGGTTAATTTGTTTTACAGATTTCTACACAAACAAAGTGCAACTACAAAGGATCCTTGGTGCTCTCTGAGGTTGGTTGTTTTCTTGCAGTTATTTACATTGTCCAAACTAGGTAACATCATCAGTGCTAGACTAAGCTAGCTCTGATGATGTTACCTGGTTTGGGTAATGAACCGTCTGCAAGAAAACAACAAAGCTCAGAGAACGTCAACCAGTGGTGGGTTCCTACCTGTTTGAACTGGTTTGGCCAAACCAGTAGTAGCTTGGCGACCTGGGTTGCTGGAACCAGCAGCAACCCAGACCTGCCACACCACCAAACTGGTTCTCCCAGAGGTGCCATAGGCAGCGCCATCTTGTTTTTTGGTTCTGCGCATATGCAGAGCAATTTTAGTTGTACTATGTGTGCGCATGGTACCCTCCTGAGTAAACTGGCAGTAGTCTCTGCTGGAACCTACCACTGTCGTCAACCCTGATGTACAAATATTCTCCTTTAAAGAGCAACTTGGTTTGGATCCAGCCTAATATGAATACATATATGTGAATACCCCCAACATGCCTACCTTTCTGGAATTTTTCCAGCAAGGCATTTTGGAAATCAAAGTTATGCCATAGAGTTGTTCAAAATGATCTAACCTTCTGCATGGATAGATCCATCAGTCATACAATGGTTAATTAAACCAATGGCTTGTGCATATTGAAGCATTTTTATAAGAAGTCACTATTACCATAGGTTAAATGGATACACTGTGAGCTCTGCAACATTATAATTCATGCTTTGACCAAATCATCCCTACCTCACTTAGTACAGCACTCTTTTCCTATGTTGGCTTCACCAACAGCAATTTCCAAATGCCACTGGTGTGATGGTGACATAACAGTCGTGTGCTCAGTCTTTCTGGAGAAGACAGAGTAGTATTTCTTATAGATTTTTTTTCCCATTCAGTAAATTCAATTTGGGAATGAAGCAAATATGAAATACTGCACTTTCTGTGATATGTAAGCATTTGGAAATCAGAAACCTATGATACTAAGACCTGCATTTCCACGCTCCTTTTGGCATTTGTCAATGATGCAGAAAGAATTCCATCAGTTACAGAATTCCAACAGTTTTGCTGTTGGTGGTAAACATTCATTTCTGGAGATGATGGAGTGATCCTAGTGATTTGGATGATAAAGTGTTTTCACCAGAATGACAAAAGTTGGACGGTGAAATTCTCTTTATTTCAGCTATCAGATTGCTGTTTAGCAGTACCTTGTGAGAATATCTTCAGGGCATGATTTAAAAAAAAAACACCTCAAAATGGTGACCACAATGGTACAATTCAAGCTCAATCTATTTCAAGACGATAGCTGTGACATGAATAAAAAGTGGATAGAACTTCAGTTGTATCATTACAACTGCTATTTTGATCCCCCCCCCCCGCACTCCTTATGGACACCCCTGCATTTTGAATGCAGAACACTTATGAAAGAGTAGCAATAAACAATAATGTTCAATAACTTCTAAATGTAAAATATATTTTGGCTTCTAAGACTTTTCACTTTTTCTTCAACCTGCATAGTGGAATTGAATACCAATGAAACATAAAACCATTAAGACTTTGGGTTTTAAGATTTTTTAAAAACAATTTTAAATACAGTACAGAGTATAAATTAATTGTACATAAAATGAGGGATGATGAAAGATCTCTCCCACCTTACAAATAAAAGTATGCAAAAAAACCCACCAAAAACAAATGGCCTTTGAAAACAAAGTGAAATAGGACTGAATAGCAAGTATTTTAATGTCAGAAATAAACCATTGAGTATAAAGTGAGTAGACAGGAAATGCGTATTTCCAAACTGTTTTGAGCAGATTTTTCATACATCTTGGTGCCATGGAATTACATCAAGAGACCACAGCTATAGTATTAATGCTTTTTTTTTTCTTAGCCAGTACAATCTGGCTAAATACAAGTAGTTTATTTATTAATGAGCACAAATCTCAGTCTTATCAGGTGTTAGAGAACCATGGATGTTCTCATATGAGAAAAACTGGGCTGAAGCAAGATGTGTCATAAAAATTTATCTAGGGCACCCAAGTATCAATAGCATCACTCAAATGAAAGTCAAGGAGATTATTAAGCCCCATTCTCTTTGGACAACAAAATCTGAAATTGGAGGTAAAGTATGTATTCCAACTAATTTACTATTCTGCTTCCATAGGGAGATGGACTGAAAGTGGAACAAGAAAGGAAAAGGTGCATTTTGAGAATCCTTCATTAAGCATGGGAACATGACAGAAAACAGTTTTCTCTCATTAGAGCTCTAGTTACTCCATGTCTCTGTAGTAACTATTACTTAGTTTGCCCAATTTTAGCATCTTTCCTTTTGTCTCAACTGGAATAAAATAGATTGTTTTTCAATTTACACATCATACAACATTATCAGGTGGGTGGTTGCATTTGGCTTTAACGTGTTGCACTGTAATCTATAAACCATGGCTAATAGCTCAGAGCTAGGAACAACCCCAAATGTGGCTTACCCAAAAAATGTAGAATTACCACCTGAGCTGCAAAAATCTGCGCTGGATAGCAGTAAAGACAAATGACAGAACTCTGTTCTACCATTTAATGATCATCTGGAATTTTGCAGTACCAGGAATGTTAACTCTAACCAACCATGGTTTGCATAGCTCATTTAACATGTTTTAAAGATTACAAAAGGCCTTATTTCTTGTCTTGATGCCTCCTTACCAAGAGATTTTCACGGTTTTAGCTATTAAGACAAGATTCTCTTAACAAAGATATTTGTATTACTGCTGGATTCTGTCACGTATTCAGTCACTGAGGATAAAACTAGAATGTTTTCAGTTAAAACTTAAGCACGTTTTTCCCTCATGAGGCAGCCAATAATATAGAAATTATAGAGTTAGACCTTAAATGCCCAAACCTTGTTCAAACTCTACCCATCTATGACCTCAGCAATTTTCTTTTTGTCTTTCCTCTTTTATAACAACACAGTAAATGACCAGGGCTAAAATGTAATTGGAAAGGGGATGTTCCACATTCACATATCTCTTTCTTTTTTGTTCGGTATTCTATCAGCAAAGGTCCATAGGCAATTAAACGTCTTTCTTTCTTTCTTTCTTTCTTTCTTTCTTTCTTTCTTTCTTTCTTTCTTTCTTTTTCTTTCTTTCTTCTTTCTTTCTTTCTCTTTCTTTTCTTTTCTTTCTTTTTGATAAAGTGAATAACTTTTATTGTTTTTACTCACTGATTCCTGGAAGGAAGGCTACTGTCTTGACAGAAGACACAGTGAATTTTGCATTTAGTGACAGGGAACAACTTATTTATCACCTTTTCAAATAGAGTAAATCCCAAGCTGGAGACCCAAAGAGAGATAAGTCTGCCATGTCCATCAGATATTACTAATTGGACTGGGATGGGGCCAGCAGCACTTTGTGTAATGATATTCAGCACCACTTAACTTTTATATATTCAATACATTGTGCAGCATTGTATGGCTTTTCTAAGATTTTACACAGCTTGGTTTTTATAATTTGGAAGATATTAACCTGAGATTAGTGCTGTAAGACTTGGGGTGTCCAGGATTGGGGTAGGGTCAAGATGGCAAGGGCAACTGCCATCTTTATTTTTTTTAAACTTCTGACTCTTTACCCAACTCCACCTACGCCCCTGTATAAGACTGCATCTGGGCCAAAATGACTGCTAGAGGAAAAAATGACCTACAAATGAAGGCTGATGCTATATACCTGTATTTTAACAATTATTGGTTGAAATAGCTGCTATTTACCTGGAGTAGCAAGAGTTTTTATGGTCCTAAGCAGAGACCTCTTTACCTCCACTGGCACTTGAGATCATTTATTGAGATGCTGATGCTGATTGCCTGTGTATACTGCCTAATCTTAAAACAACATGCTGGAACATTGCTGTGGCCCTGTTTACTAAAAAGCAATGCTTTATTCTAGCAACTACGGAGGCAGTGGTTGCAAAAATAGCCCAACAGTGGTGCTAGAAGCCCCAATTTGTCCATGAGTCGCAACTCTTACTTTCCCCGATGTAAATTTATTAGCAGAAACATCTCTAAACTCAATTGACAGGAGGAGCCAAGTCTTTCTTAACATCACTTTCAGAAATTATTTCTTTGACCCATGAGGAAGCTTTGAATGGGGATGGGTAAGATGGACTCCCAACATAATTGCTCCCAGCCTGTTTCCAAAAAGGGTCAGGAATGGGTATTTAGTATTGATTGCTTCAGTTCCCCAAGGCATGGTATGAAAAATGAAATATACACGAAGACATTAAACGTATCAGTGGAAACATGACAGTAAAAGTCCTTAGTGCATCTGCTGTCACGGTTTGCCATACTGACTCTCTTGACATGCCCACTGCCACAGTAAACAACCTGAGTCCAGTTAAGTCCAAGATGGGGCAAGGGGAAAAAAAAGGAAAAAATAACCTTGTTATATTCCTGTTTTCCTCAAACCCACCACTTGCAAAATGCATTTGAGCCACAAGTCTTGCAACATTTCGATAGCATTTGTTGCAGCAAAAAGCACATTGTCCATGCCCATTGCTGTCGTTTTGCTCTTTATTTCCTCTCTCCTTTTTTTTCTTCTTCAAGAGGTGGACATAATGCCACTATGAACTTAAATGGCAAACTTTGGTGAGAAAACATTCAGCGAATGAGGAATTGGGAAGCACCGTTGGCCGTCCAAAAGGGCATTGAGGCAGATGGACGGAGAGAAACTTTTGATAACCCCATGGGGGCTATACAGCAAATATATTAAATAAACCTGGAAGAAAAGGAAAGAAAAAAAAGGAGGATTAGCATTCCATTCCAGAAAAGTAAGTCATCTGCTTATGGTGCCTAAATGTGGTTGGTTGTGGTTTTCTTATACCACTTCACATTTTCATATCCAGAAGATTTCTTCCCTTGACAGCTAAATTTGAGGATTGCTTCCATAAAAAACAGTCACTAAGTGGGCGGCATGTAAATTTAATAAATCCATTAAAAGTTCCCATAAAATTCAGTGAACTGTGCTGGATCAGACCACAACATTTTGTGCCCAACATTCTGCCATAATAATAGAAGGTGTGGTAGCTTAGTGGTAAAGACGCTTGCCTCCCACTTGGAAGGTTGAGAGCTCAATCCTAGGTAGCGACAGAAGTTTCCCTCGCAGGGCACAAAGAGAAAATACCTGCTGCATATTCTGTGTAGGTATCAGGAAGGGCACTTGGCCAGTAAATGCTCAACTCCATCTAGTCACCCTAACTCTACCCTGAATTAAGGGATTACTTAAGGGTCACAAAAAATAAAAAGAATTATATCATAATACCATCAGATGTCTACCAGGACATGATTGTGGGGACACTCTATAGAAATTCATTCTGAATTTCACAAAATCTAATAATCCTTCAAGAACATCCTAACAATGTTGATGCCTATTTGTAGCATTCTGATTTTCCTAAATTGTCTTGTCATTTTTTCAGTTATGATTTATGACAGGATAATTTTGAGTTTTTTAAAAATAGCACTTTTTAAAGTTAACGGTTTTGTTTTGTTTGATCTTTGCAACTTTCTCATGAATTATATATGAATTTCTTGATTGGGCAGGATGGGCCTTAATAACTGGCTTCATTTCATATCGCTGTCCACAAATAAAGCTTGACACAGTAATGGAAGGTTCTTTACCATTCTGAAAATATTACAAATAACATTGCACAGCATGTTCGTTGAATGGCAGTAATTGAATATTGTAGAAATTTGATCATGTCAGGGGCATTGCTGGGCAATTGATTGGCTGTTTTGAGTCTCCTGAACTTAAAACACATATGGAACAAAAGTTGGCATTTTAACAGTACATCATTTTGAGTGTCTTGGGTGATTTGATTTACTGTTGTTTCTCAGGTTGTGATTAGCTTATTTTATCCATTTCTTTTTCCTAGTAAAAGCATAGGAAACATTCATGTTTCTACTGCAATAGGCGGATGCTTGACAGGGTGAGAAGAAAGCAACAATAGAAAATGTGGACAGGCACAACATAGTTTGCAGCTGTAAGCTGCCAGCAGGACAGGTAAGTTACAACATAAAAATGTTACTGTCAGGCCTGACAATTACTGTACGGGGAATTTAGAGTATCTGTGGATGGTTGAATTAAATTGTGTTCACCTTTATTTTGCAGAGAGGCTAGCTATGCAAAGGTGTCTTTGCAAGCACATGCTACTGTGCTTCATATACAAGTGTTGATAATATATTTAAAGTTTTGTACCTGCAAAGAGCACTAATATAAACTTGGCTTGGTTGGGCTGTTAAGCTTTCATGTGCACACATGTTTTATATGCATGCTGTATATTTTTGTGTTGGATTCTTGAGCTTTAGTGTGTTTATTGTTGCTGTAATTTTAATATAATTTTTGCAGTAAACATTTTTGCAGCAGCTTCCATCCTCATTTGCAAACAAACAAATCAAGGAGTTCATTTTGCTGAGGTTATATCTGGCAATGAGGCACAAAAGAAAAAATACATGCCAAATCTACTGATTGGTTTTACAAAATAGCTGGTATAAAGATTATAATCTCAATTAAATTTGCAGTAGCTAATTGCAAAGTTAAATTCACATTATTTGCTTTAATAATTTCAAAAACATTTCAAAACTCATCTTTTTGGTTAATTTTCCTGCAACTTAGCTAGACAGAAGGCGACATAATAGTTTGCCGTCCTAGGACAATGTGGATCTGGGATAAGAAACACTATTAATGAGGCTTTTTCTAAATTCACAGTGTTTCTTATATTCCTATAAACAGAATATTTTATTTGTTTTAATTTTAGTTCAGCTGGAACACAGCCAACTGTTTCAACAGACTGTTTGAAATTGGACTGTTTTGTCTCAAACTCATAATAAACATACATATTTTTGCACTCCCCAAATAAAATAAGGAATTTGGTCATCTGAATTCCTTCTCCAGCCAACTGTGAAAAAACAATGCTTCAGTAATTCAAGTGGATTTACTGTGAAAATAACCTTGTCTAAAGAGGCTCCCAAAATACAGCAACCAAATAGGACAGGTTCAAACTCCAAGGTACAGTTAAGACTGCAGAAATAATAATTGCAAACACCCTGCCTTCCATAGAAGACTTGTATATTGTGTGGGTCAGAAGGAGGGCTGAGTGTAAACTGTTTTAACTCCTCCATGCCATTATAGGCCATTGTATGCCAAACAACTAGGCAGAGGGACAGTTTCCCCCCTCATGCCATCACTCTGCTGAACACTCTGCTAATTCTTACAGTGCCATCTAATGTCCCTGTATACTTACCTATGTAGTATGGCTGTATTTATCCTTCTCATTATCTACTCCCCCTCTTATTGGTATTATTATTATTATGGTGATTATTACTATTCTATTGCTTTGCATAGGCATTGAGTGTTTCTATACTGGAGATAAATTCCTTGCGTGTCTAATCACATTTGGCCAAATAAAGCTCAGTTCAGTTCAATTCAATGAGTTATTATCTTTGGTGCATTTACCTGACATTTGTACTTCTGCCTGCCAGCATTTTTATGCTGGGAAAATTTCTTTCAGTGCTTTTTTATCATGTACGTGTTTGAACTTTCGATGCTTCCTCTTTTGTGGCAGCAACCTGTGTGCTCTTGCCCTTGCTGGAGGAGAAGTTACAGCACTTACTGGGGGCTCACCTGCCAAAAAAAGAGGGTGCATAATAAACATCAGTATAAAAGAGCTCATTGTCACTGACAAACATATTTCTAAGGAATTCTTTCTACTTATTATTTCAGACTTCATAATGTACCCAATTCTCATAAAGCATAAATTCCACTACTCACCTCTGTGCTCATGTGAATTTTCCCGACTGGGAAGCCTGGGTGATACTGGCTCACATCGGCATGCCAGGTGGTCTTCTAAGGCTACAATTGCTTTATTAAAGACTGGCTTCTTTTCAGCAACTTCAATCTTATTTACCTATCAAAAAGAGAGTAAGAACAAACTCTGTGATACATAGCACTGTGAATTCATCTCAATTCAGCCAGTATTATTAAAGATTTTGCTTGTACATTTTAAAACGTTTTCATTGCCTTGCGATAAAGCCCAGATGCAGCATGATTTATCCCAGTCAAAATAGCATCTTAGATTATTCCGTTCGCATATGCTAACGAAGGACTGAAGGTAAAGTCCAAACTGGGAAAATTGGAACATTTCACTCAAACGATCAAATTCCCCTGCTTAGAATATCAAATTATTTCACCAAAACAAATTGTAAAAATGCATCATGAAAGGCAGTGCTGGCTCCTATACATTGCTGAAGGTAATTCCTCTTAACTGATCCTGTAATAATCTATATGGATCTGAAAAAGACCAAGAAGTTACTGGACTTCTTCTTGCAAGAAATTGTCATCCATTTACTTGCCTGTCACCTCCTGCCACCTGGGCCAAACTGCAAGTCGCTATCACAAGTGTAACAGCAAATTTCTTATCAGAAGATAAAGAAAGGAAAACTCCACAGCAAACTACTCTAGCTAATGGCTGCTGTTTTTCTTAGCATTTGTTCCATAGCATTGCAGGGTCTAGCTGCATTTACACTACACTTGTGTAGCTCTTACAGAAAAGCATTCAGTGCGTGATACAATAAGGTTTCTTCTTTATCAGAAAGCCTGTCAGATTGATTAGGCCGATAAGGAGTAATTGGCCCAAGTGTCATCCAGTTGGCTTCTATACTTAGGGCCTGGATCTTCCCATTCCTAGTCCAGTACTTCAATTACCATACAACAAGGGATCTCCGAATTGCCTCACATAAGAGTAAGAGGGCTATATCTGCAGTGTGACTGTGGGCTAAAGAAATACTTTCAGAAGAGGAAGGATGCAATTCTACTAAAGTCTGTTTTAAATGTGACATGTGGCTATTGTTTGCACAGCACTCTTAACAAAGGCATTTTTAGTCCTATGTGCCATGGAAACCAAGTACCTAATCAATTCAAGGTCAGAAGAAGAATCACTTTAAGCCACAAACTTGGAGTCAGTCACTATTCAAAGCATGTTTTTGGATAAGATAGTGTCACACGAATTCAGAAGGCCAGAAACATCTATACCATAACATCTATACCAATTCTCCAATGAAATGAGACCAAAGCACACAATTTTGAAAAAGCAACATGCTGCATTATAACATTCACTGGCAAGATCTGAAAGTCACAAAACATACTTTTAAAACAGTGAATATCTGCAGCATCCAAACTGCTTGTGTGGCTAATAGGGAAGCAGCCATGAAGTTTGGCCAACATTCTCCTGGCATAATAGGATGAAAGAAGTGGACGGGATTCCTGTTCCTCCAAATGGCAATCCTTGAATGAGGTTGTGTGACTGACTGGTGCCCATCTAAGAATAAGGAGCCACAATTGTGTCTATCTGGTTAACATTTTATGCAAATGCAGCCATAAAATGTGAGTATGATCTTCCCAGGAACCTAGCAGTGACCGAATATCCCCTCGGTTTAACTTTCTTAAAAAGCCAAATTCTACAATAGCACACAAATTGCTTAGTAAACACTGTTTCTGAATTAAAAAAAATACAGGCCTTTCTATTTTCAAAGAAAGCATTTCAGAATCACATTCACAGAATATCCTAGGGACTCTTTGTTTTTTTCCACAACACTACCACATCCCTATCATTCCACCCAACTTCATTCTCTTCTGCTTCATAAAATTTTATGGAGAAAGGAATTTCCCATTTAGAAATGGTGTAACATTTTCCTTCCTTTGTGCATTGTTGTATGAAAAAATCCAAAGAATTTGTTCTCATACAGATGTCAAGGAAGGCATTTGTATTTTAAAAGGCTTCATCCAGGAAGAAGCATAAAGATCCATATTGACTGGAAACTGAACAGCACCAGAAGAGGTAATTTGCAAGATCCCTATTTACAATACATCCAGAGAAGATAACTTAGAAGAGCAACTGGGAATATGATATTTGTTAAGTGCACTAGCACAATAAAAATCAAGCTCTTTGTTAGTATGCATGCTGGTATGTTCATTTCTGCCAGTTCTATCACTGGACTACTGGATTTTATTATTGTATTACATATTAAAAGATAATATGTTGGACTGAGTACTCTTCCTTCTTCAGAAAATTTAAAATAAAGCCATTGATTGCTGTCTTTGCAATCTTTATAAACAAAGGAGATCTTAACATGGCTTTTTTAAAACAGGCATTTATAGGACAGATTATATATGAAATATATGATCCAAAATGATGGCAATATTTGATACAAGCACTATGCAGGAAACAAACTCTTGAATAGTATGATAAATAACTAAATCCTTATTAACCTTAAACTCTGAAAATATTTATTGAATCAATTCCTGGTATGTACATGACTTCCATTTCAACTTGCCTAAAGTCCCAAAAGTTCAAAGTTCAACTTTGAACCAAAAGTTTCCAGGGACATTAAAATAGTATCCCTGAACCCATTCATCATCACAGGTGTCACACCATTCTTCTTTTTCCCTCAAACTTGACAATCATATTAATTTTTATGCTCCACTTTTATTATTTGTCCATAATATGCAACTTTCTGCTTGCTAATCATTATCTGTAGCAAAGTTTTTTCTTTTCATAACCTTTCTGTCACCTATGGTACTCTTAATGACTGCTTGCAGACTCATAATTCAAATACAACTACCTTCTTTCCACGTCATTTTCTCAGTGTTCACCTTTCACAGTGGTACAATATTTGACTTTCATAGCACTGGGGGAAAAAACCTGTTCCTATATCTGTTGACATAAAAAAAAATCCCCTAAACCTTTATGAACTTGCCTGAGTTTGTCTTTGCTTTCCTTCTTAAGATTAATTTATTTTTCTCTTGTATACTATCCATCTTTACCTATTCTTCACTCAAAAAATCCAGACCTATTTACCATATCCGTACTCTACCATACCTAATGCTTCCTTATGTTTAACTTTAGTCCAAATCACTATTTTCACTTTCCTAATGAGTTCTTCTGCTGTTGTTTAAAGAGCTCAAATTCTTCATTCAGTTTCCAATTTTTACAATGTTTACTGTCATTTCTCCCAATCCCTCTAATAATATACTTGTTGTGCAAGTTTAATAAATAAGGAATTAATATACACCCATTTCCTCCACCTTTCTGAACTACTCTATTTTTCCAAATTCAGTATTTATAATAGCTTCATTGTGAAATTTATTCAAAAGAATGGCATTCTGACATGTCCAGTAGTTTTAAAATGTCCCATTGATATGATCTACAAAACAAAACAAAACAAAAAAATCTTGCTGTAGTCAAGGAATAAATCTTTCTTAAACTTTGGACATTGGCTTTCTTTAATATAGATATGTACATTTACGTTTCCAAACTCTACATCTCACAAACATGTCCATTATTTATTGACTATAAATGCAACTCTTTTTTCCCTGAGCCTTTAAGCAGTTCAACGGGCATTTCATTTACATCTAATGCTTTTCTGTTCGACAGTGTTCTGGTGCTTTGCATCTTACATTTTCATGAAGTTGTTTCCTAAATATATTATCTCCCTACAAATATCTTTATCATCTCATAATCACATTGGTAAAGAGTTTAATTAATTTCTCAAGCAATTTTAGTCTCATTTATTTCAATTAGATCCCTTGCATAATTACTCTTGGATATTCCTATAACCTTGATTTTTTTCTGAGTTCTCTTATTTTCTTAAAAGTACCACTCATCTATTTTTTCTTGTTATTTTCCTCTTTGGGTTGACATTTTTGATTGATATATATTTCCTTGTCCTCACTTGCTTGATGTTGGAAGTTTGTGATTAGTTGTTGTACTTCCTTCTTGTTGCCCAAGGCTTTCATAATGTCTGCCTGTCAAGATAACTTGTTCTGGAAGCCATTCGGATTCTTGACATTTTGATAATCTTTTTTCTATATAAATGTTTGTGACACTTATTTCTTCTCAGTTCTTTTTGCTATAAGTTAATCATTACACTGATCTTAAGTTCTAATTGTACCAGGTCATATCCTGTTGGCATAAATGCTCTCTTTAATTTCCAAGGGTTAACTCATATATTTGACACAATAATTCATTATTGGTTCTTCAACGTGCACCTGGAAGTTCTGGCTGACTGGATTGTACTTTCCCATCTTCTGTTTCCTATACGTAGCCAATCTGATTGCAGTGACATTTTTCTGATGCTGCCCAGGTGTACTGTTTCAGTTCTATTGTTTTAAACAGGTGTTGGCAAATGAACACAGAATTATATTTGCAAAAACAATATTAACCTATCTTCTGCAGAATTTTGACCATACATTGCATTATGCTGTCTTTTTGTTCTTTGAATTTTATCTTATTCTTTTGAAGGTCTCATCAAGTCCACCCAAACAAGATTCTTTTGGCAAGGAGAAGCAGCTTGCAATTCTGATTCTGCACAGAATCAGAATCATTGTGGACAGAGAAGACCGATGGTTTGAAAGAGGGATCAAAGAGCCCATTTACAATAAGATCGAACAGTCTTTCTCAACAGAAGGGGAGGGATATGACAATACCTATTCCCTGTTTACAACATAGTCCTTTTAGCAACTCCAAGAAAGTCCCACACCTATTTGCAATATTCAGGTGATCCTGAGGGCACAGATAAACCTCCAAGTGGCCTCAATAACTTCAGAAAGAGTGCTAACAACAAGATGACTGCAAGGAATATAAATCTTTCCATCTTCCTCCATTCAGTCAGAACCGAAGAAGCTTCTTGGATGAGAAGTGAAATATCTTCAAGGAAAAACTAAGTCCAGTTGCTTTTTGAAAAAGCTTGTTTGGGACAATCATGATCTGGATAGCTGAGAATCTCCATAGACATTTCACTTGCAACCATCCCTGCCTGCTTCCCCATTGATTTTCTGGGGAAGCCAGCAGAGAAAATTGCAAATAGTGATGACGTGATTGCAGAATGCTAGGCAATCAGACGTTAAGTGTGAACAGGTTGCTAAACACTCAGATCATGATCACGTAACTGTAGGGGTGGGATGTGATGTTTTGAAATGGGCAAAAGTGCTATATGGGGCATAAACACCCATTCCAATACTATTGCAATTCTGGACCATCTTTAAATGAATGGCCATAAATTGAGGATTAGCTGTACTATCTGTTACTTGTCTATCAGCAGCTGCAAATCTTACCAATTTTCCATTCATTTCCCCATGTTTGGAACATAAACATGATTTGTCTATTTTTTTTTTATGCTACGTGATTTGCCATTGTGTCCTACGGTTGCTTTTAAAGATCCTTTTGCTGGATGAATTGATTTCCTACATACCTGCAGATGATCTAAACCGTCTATGGATTATATTTAAGTTTCCCTTCCACATTTGACCGTAAAACAAGAGAGAAACTCTACCAGAATTCATGTTCCTGCCAGCACTGTTCTTGGAATTATTAGAGCTACTTAGCCCTCTCAAAGCAGTAATTCCTGAAATAGTAATGCATCTACTACAAAGAAAATAAAATAATCTACTCTAAAATCAGGTACGATCAAAGCAGAACAACATGTAGATTCCCCATTTGATAAGGCAAACACATCAAGTCTTGAAATAATGTAGATGCAAATTAAGCAATTCAAGACACTATTTATAAAGATAACTGTACAATAAAGATATGTAGGTCTAGTGGTTTGTTTCTTTTTGACTCAGCATGTTATAGAAACCCAACCAACAATATTATTTCATAAATTATGGTAAAATAAGCTATTCCTTACCAGAGTGTGAACCCAACTGCAAACAATTCTATGCATATATACTGAGAAATTCTATTGTGTCAAGGTAGAACAGTTATACTATACTGTAAATAGGTATATGCATATATATATATATATATATATATATAT